AGGGGGGGAGGAGGGTTTGTGGATTCGATTTGTTCGGTTTTGTTTGGGATTGTCGACATGTTCTTTGAAGGAGGAAGAGGGTGGGAGAGGAAGAGGAGGAGAAGAAGGATTGAAGAGGAAGAGAGAGGGGGGGATTGAAGAGGAAGAAGAGGAGATTCGAAGAGATAGAGGGAAAAAAAAGATTCGAAGAGGAGGAGGAGAAGAAGGTTCAAAAAGGAAAAGAAGATAAGACGGTTCGACGAGGAAGAGGAGGAGGAGGTGAAGAAGGAGGAGAAAGAGGAGGAGAAGAAGAAGAAGAAGAAGAAGGAGAAGGAGAAGGAGAAGGAAGATCAAAGTTCCTCAGAAGGCATTTCGGTTTCGCTGAACAAGACTCTTCGTGGCTCGAAATGAACTCTCAAGTTTAGCTAATTCTACCGAGATTTGGGACAGAAAGGGTTAATCGTGAGGCCGTTGAGCTTGTGAAACTATCATCCACTTTATATTTATGTTAATTCTATGTTTATTGCAGTGATTTCCGGTGTGATTATTATTCTTATCTGAGGCAAGCGCGATGGCTGCCATACCCTTCATTAGCTTTATAATTTTAATAAATAATGATTAAACTGGATTCATTAATTTTTCTTCATTATTACTTTATTTCGTTGTTGATGTCTTTCTTATGATCACCATCATTATCATTACCATGATAAATATCATTGTAATTATTATTATCATTCTTATGGTAATGGTTATCATGAACATGAACATGAACATGAACATGAACATGAACATGAACATGAACATGAACATGAACATGAACATGAACATGAACATGAACATGAACATGAACATGAACATGAACATTAACATTAATATTAACATTAACATTAACATTAACATTAACATTATTATTTTTATTATCATTATTATTATCATTATTATTTTTTACTATTATTATTATCATTATTATCATTATAATTATTATCATTATTGTTATTATTATTATTATTATTATTATCATTACTATTATTATTATTATTATTATTATTATTGTTATTATTATTATTATTATCATTATTATTATAATAATAATAATAATTATTATTATCATTATTATTTTTTATATTATTATTATCATTATTATCATCATCATTATTATCATTATTGTTATTATTATTACTATTATTATTATTATTATTATTATTATTATTATTATTATCATTATTATCATTATTATCATTATTATCATTATTATTATTATTATTATTATTATTATTAATCATTATTATTATTATTATTATTATTATCATTATTATCATTATTATTATTATTATTATTATTATTATTATTATTATTATCATTATTATTATTATTATCATTATTATTGTTGTTGTTGTTGTTGTTGTTCATCATTATCATCATCATCATCATCATCATCATCATCATTATCATCATCATCATCATCATTATTATCCTCATCATTGTTGTCGTTGCTTTTATTATTATTATTGGTGTTGTTATTATTATTGTTATAACTATTGTTGTTATTATTATCATTAGTAGTAGTAGTAGTATCATTATTATTATTATTAATATCATTTATATGATTATCATTATCATTGTTATGATTATTGTCATTATAATCATCATCTTGATATATCATTATTATCATTATCATTATTACCATTATTGTCATTGTTATTATTATCATTATTATTATTATTATCATCATCATTATTATTACTGTTACTAAATTTTCATTTTCATTATATTTTCATTTTGCTTTCATTTTCATTTTATTTTCATTTTATTTTCATTTTGTTTTCATTTTATATTTTATTCTATTTTCGTTTTCGATTTCATTTTCATTTTATGATTACTATCATCATTATCATTAGCATTAATAATATCGTTATTGTTGTTATTGTTATTGTTATTAACATTATTATTATTATCATTATCATTATCAATTTTTTTTGCCATGATCATTGTTATTATTATATTCATTATTATCATTATATTCATTATAACTAGCGGTAGTAGTTTTAGCATTACTAATATCATTATTACCATCATTATCATTATTGTTATTAATTATCATTATTGATACTAGTAGTATTATCTTCTCTCAAATTTTCATTATAATAATTGTGTTAATTAATATTATTCAAGATTCTGCCATTCTTTTCTTTTTTTCCTTATCCTCTTACCAATGGAGATATCATCGTCATTACTAAAATCATGATTACTTTTGTTTCAGTTATTATTATGTTATTTGGTGTTCTGATATATAACAATAATAACTTTTCAAATGAAACATGTATAGCTCTCATAAATTCTTATTCAAAACTAATTACATCAAAAAGTACAATATGATATCTGTATCTACTAATATTTATCCTCAAGTACATAAGATGTTGATATATTGCAGAGAAATGAATAAATTAACACACTTGGGTACGAAAGGTTTAAGATAAACACACATTACTATAAACATTTTAATTTCAAACAGTATGATACACACCATGTACACTAGAATAATAGGCGATTTTCAATGTAACAGCATGAGCCTTTCCTCCCTTATGGATTCATGCAATAAGGGTTCTTTTCAATAGTCTTTCCTTAGCCTAAATAACCTTTATTGCAGGAAAAGTCTAAGGGATTTCACTGCTCATTTCACTACACAGAGGGTACTGACACGGTGACTAGTACAAGTATTTTGTCTTCATATATATTCCTTTTTTTTTAAATTATTTTCTTACCTTTTTAGTTATTCGTTGCCAATTGTAACAACTCACAGGTTCGACATAGTGTCAGAGTTAATCACGTAATCAATTGAATTACGAATTTTGAAGGGATTTCAATGATAATATACTGAGGTGGGGGGGGAGGGGGAAATGTGGAACTCTGACAGCATACAAATTGAAATAGAGTATCCTATCGCAAGTAAATGTGATTGGCAAAATCTGACTCTCAAGCGAACTAAAATATACTGTGCTTGAGATGTCAAATTTTAATCTTGGACACAGCTTTTTTTTTCTCTCTCTGGTCATTATACGTTTCTTAAAAAATAAATAAGTAAATGAACGATATTTCAAAACTACACTAATGGAAAAAATAAATACATAAATAATAACCTACAGACTCTACTTTCTGCTGCCACATTTACTTGCAATTCACACGAACAAAGGAAGTATCTTGACAATAAAAATAATCTTATCTTTTTTTTTTTTTTACCAAGTTACATCATGCTAGGCGTTAATCTTGAGCCTATCACTCAACATGTCGGACGTGGCTCACTATTTTATCTTCACCCTTTTCTTTACTTATTTACAATGTACGTACAAAACTTTACACACAAGTGTTAATATTTACAAATCTGAATAGTTACACAAAAAAGAAGACCAATTGTAATATGGTATATATATGCTTTTTTTCTCCAAAAAAGTGGTATATTTTTTTCTTTTTTTTAGGGGAGGGGGTCGTATATATTTTTTTTATTTTTTTTTATTTTATTTTTTTTCCCTAATCTCTTATCTTTCCCTACAGATAACACACATGGCGTGATACAAATTTCCTAACAAGAAAACCTATTCAGGCAGTATAGGAAGAAGTTATCATTAATATATATATATTTTTTGTTTCATTTTATTTGTTTTTTTTTTGTTGTTTCATAATATACCTAAAACTGTGAGATAAAAGGGGATACCAGATCAATAGCAGGACGTGAGCTAAAATTAATAGCACCATCGTGTCTTATACTAGGAGTACGTAAAGACTCAATCCATACAGGTTACGTCAGACCTTACTTGTTATTTTACTTGTTTGCTTTAAATGCCATTGTCTGCTTCGTTTAAACAGCTGGAGGGGGGGAAATGTGCAATTGAAATATTTTCTTTATCTCTCATTTTTGGGGGGATTTTTTTCACCAGGATGTACGAGATGTTAAAGAAAAAAAAATGTTGAAGATCTGAAAACCGAAATTTTGTTGGTCTAACGTATCAACTCTATGAATATATAATAAGCTAGATAGAGAGAGGGAGAGGGAGGGAGAGAGAGAGAGAGAGAGAGAGAGAGAGAGAGAGAGAGAGAGAGAGAGAGAGAGAGAGAGAGAGAGAGAGAGAGAGAGAGAGAGAGAAAGAAAAAAGAGAAAGAAAAAGAGAAAAAGAGGGAAAGAAAAAGGGAGAAAGAATAAAAGAGAAAGAAAAGAGAGAGAGATAGAGAGAGAGAGAGAGAGAGAGAGAGAGAGAGAGAGAGAGAGAGAGAGAGAGAGAGAGAGAGAGAGAGATTAAGAGAGAGAGAGAGTGAGAGATTAAGAGAGAGAGAAAAAAAAGAAAAAGAAAGAGAGAGATTAAGAGAGAGAGAAAAAAGAGAGAATTAACAGAAACAGAGAAACAAACACAGACAGATATGTAGTACAAGAGAGACAAATATACAACAGGAAGAGCAACAGAAATCAGGAAAATACTCAAAAGACTTCCTATGATTGTCTTTCGTCTTAGTTGAAAAAAGAGAGGACTAGAAACGTAAAAAAAAAAAAATACAAAATACACAAAGCAGAATATTTATGAGTTTTGGAGACTTATAAAGACAGTGATTTATTGCTGTCGTTTTTTTTTTCATTTCGTAACTTTGTCGATATTTCATATTTTGCTGTTGCTTCACTCATAAATTCACTGCATAGGAACTCAAAACAATGACAGGGTGAGAGAGAGAGAGAGAGAGAGAGAGAGAGAGAGAGAGAGAGAGAGAGAGAGAGAGAGAGAGAGAGAGAGAGAGAGAGAGAGAGAATGCATACAGTACAGAGCGATATAGGAACAGACGAAAAAAAAAACGTATATACATAAGAAACCCAAAAAGGGAATTCCACCCATTACATATCAAAGAATAAAAAACACAGAATCAAATAAGAAAAAAAAATCAATATATATCGCGTAACTCCTGACAAGCAACCAACAAAATACAAAAAAAAAAAAAAAAAAAAAAAAAAAAATCGCGCTGTCTCAAATCCTTCCCTAAAGGTCCCGACACTTTTAAACGAATGACCTTTCCTCTTCCAATGACCTCCTCCCCCCCTCTGCCCTCCCCTCCTGTCGTTCCTTCCGCGCGTGACCTTGCTTTGACCTCGTTTTGACGTCTAATTTGGTTGGTGGAACTCCCTCTATCCCCGGTGCCACAACGCGTTCGAATCCGTGTACTTCGTCTCCGATGAGTTGATGAAAGAGGACAGGTAAATTAGGTTTGGTAAAACGAACACCTACAGATCAGAAAGAAATATCAAAATCCTCCGTAACTGTGCGAAGATTTAACCCAGAGGACAAAATAAAAAGAAAAGAAAAAGAGAAAAAGGAGACAAATCAAAGAAAGAAGATAAGAACGAAGACGAAATTTCACGGATCGGAACTTGTCGCCGAGACTTCCGCGCGCCCACCGCTTCCGCCGCGTGTGATTGGCTGGGCGATGCTTCCTTCTCCTTTGTTTCCGGTGATTGAGTCCGGTGATTGATTGCTCAGAAAATGGGATCCGATTGAGGGGAAACTTCGATTTTTTGGGGTCTTTTTTTCTCCCTCCCGAAGTCTTTGGCAATTTCGGCTTGCTAGTTCGTCGTTATGAGGTGGTGGAGGGGAGGGGGGGTGTACATCAAACCATTTTTATACGAAATTCGCACATAACTTCGTTCCAAATGTATGATGGAGGAATTTTGATTTCATTTCTAAAAGAGGAAATGATATATTTTCTCTTAATAATGGCCTTGAATGAGATTCTTCTTCTCTCCTTACCCTGAGACATTTGATCAAATCAGACCCATGATCTGCACCAATCACCAGTCACCAATCACGGATTCGGAGGCGGTAAAAGGTGCCAATCCCACAACGGAAGAAAATGGAAACTTAAGAAAAAAAAAAAAAAAAAAAAAAAAAAACTATGAATAAAAATCAGAGTCGCTCATTCACCAGCTGGATTTGGTTCATAACGAGAACATCAAAATAAAAAAAAACTAAAGTTAAAAACCAGCTGGTTAAAAGAAAGCAGAAATCAGAAAATATATTCTCTTAAGGAAAAAGGAAGAATATAATTAACAAAATACTGGCTGTTTAAAGTATGTGTGCTTTTTGGTTTGCGCCGAAGAACAGTGTTGAACAGTGGGAACACAGGGTGAACAAGTATACCGATCAATTGCAATGTTCATGTGACCTCTGCCCTTGGCTGTGTATTGCTTGTAGTGGGGCGTTTACAAGCCAAACCAAGTAGGCCTACATGGAAAAAAATATTACATGGAGGGGGGGGGAGGGGATTCTGACACTGTTCAAAATCGCCGATCTTTTCCGTCAAAAAAAAAACTTTTAGCTGTCAGGTGACTAGCGGTTGAACCCAAAAACAAATAAAATATATCTTAAACAATGACTAAAATCACATGGGGGCAGTTAATTCCAACACGATTTCCAACAGAGTATTTGGTTTAAGAACTCTTCGTTTGACAAATTGACAACAACACTCCCTCTATCGTATTTTCCTTCCTTTTCGAAACACCACTGAGTGCAAAATAAGTGCAAAACTACGCTCATCGAAAACACTCAAAGTTTCAACCTTATTCTTAAAGTAAAAACTAAAAAAAAAAAAAACCCCTCATATGCTACATTACATCGCAACATTTTAAAAAAATTCATAAAGAATAGAAACGTCTGTTTTTTTTCTTTCTTTCTTCCTATATAGTGATTTTTCTTCCATTTTTACAAAATAATTCAGAGTCATGCACAGTACATGCTTAAGAGAGAAATACAACAGCATGTGAACTGTGACTGAAATCCACAGCTAGATTTGCTTAATCCAAAGAGATTTTTTAAAAAGAGAGAAAAAAGAGAGAAAAAAACAATTATTTTTAATCTTCTTTTTCCTCTCTCTCTCTGGAATTGCGGACCTCGGCCATGACACTGGAAAATAATCCGTTTTGCCTAAAAAACATCAAAACTGTAAAGTAACAGTCTTTACATAGACGAGCATCATGCACTCAATATAAATATATTTGTGTATGATATATTTCAGTTGTAAACACGGATAGTCCTATAATTTATAATCTTGTAGCAGATGAAATATCTTCTCTTGACGGGAGGACCAACCAAGCGAAAATTAGGGGTGAAGAGATGCGGGGAGGGACGGGGCACATTCACAGACGAGTTACCCCTCATCTGCGGAGATATAGAAAATGAGAATTAGAAGTCGCTAATGGGTTAGATCTGACACTGACACTTAATCGCACCAGAGGCAAACACACACATACACACTCACTCACTCACTCACTCACTCACTCACTCACTCACACACATACACACTCACTCACTCACTCACTCACTCACACACATACACACTCACTCACTCACTCACTCACTCACTCACTCACTCACTCACTCACTCACTCACTCACTCACTCACTCACTCACACACATACACACTCACTCACTCACTCACACACATACACACTCACTCACTCACTCACTCACTCACTCACTCACTCACTCACAC